CTCGGATATTGCTGGGTCTACATCTGACGGAGGGGGTGATATAAGGCGCTTGCTATCAAAGCTCTTAACGACAGCTTTTTAAGAGTGGTGTATGCCTCATCTGTCAAACTGCGCTCTGCATGAATCATACGCGACAAACTTGGATCCAAGCAAGGTTGGGAATCTAGATTGCCAAGAGACTCTGCAAAAGATGCGTAGTGTCATCGAGCACTTGAACAAGTCGCCACAGGGGAAACAGCGATTTTATGAGCCCCTGGAATAGTTGATGAACACATCTTTAGCTGTCATCAGCCATGCCCCTCATCGTTTCTTAAGCCTCACCAAAGTTATCAAGTGCTTCTTGGAGCTTAAGCATCCGATAGACAAGTACTACGATGAAAGGCTACAGCTCTCCAACCTGATGTCGTCTTTGAAGGAGGAGTTAAGGCAACTCTATTCCCTCATTGCCCCGGTGGGAGCGCTGATGCAAAAAACTTAAGGTTGCAGCAAGCCCAGTGGTGCCTTCGCTCTACTTGGTCTTGTTGATTTCCAGCTGAACACTATGTCAGCCGCAGCTCCTTTGCAAGTCACCCGACCTTCAAGAGACAAAAATGGTGAGAGCAAGGAGGACGCATTCTTTGTAGAACACCATATGCTGGAGAAGACTGTACGGAAATTTAGGAGGCTGATGGAGAAGGCCTTCAAGAAGCGATTCCTTGTCCGCTACGATCACGAGCTGTTTCCCGAGACTTCAACAAAGAAAGACAAAGCCAAATGACCACATTCCTACGTCTTTGAAATGGCTTGCGCTCTTACCCCCAACCTGACGGAGCAAAATTTTCTTCAGTTGGTAATTGACAGCCATTACTAAGGAAAACTCGTGGAGCAACAACGGGCAAAGCTAGTTGAGGCAGTGAAGAAAAATGTTTGGGACAAGATTAAAGGAATGGCAATAAGAGCGGCCACGAAGCTATCGGCCGCAGGTGGTGCAGAGTTTGAGGCAGAGAACACTAAAAAAGATGACCTTTGGAGGGGCAGAGGTACGAACTCTTCCGCTGGTATTCGGAGCGCAGGAGACACATCATCATTAGCAAGAAACGTGCGGGCGCTAGGAAGAGCTTGGTCTCAACAGCAAACCTCTTTAAGGGCCTTTATGATAGGAGAGCTTCAGTGGCAGGCAATACCTCAGTCGGATGTTTTTTGGGGATTCTAGTGGATGAGGAGATAGAAAGCTTTCTGAAGTTTACCCGCGGACTGGTGATGCCGCATGACTTTGAGCCTCAGGATGTGCTGAGTGGGGTTCTGGATAAAACACCAGGGCAGATTTTCTCGTCTCGCTGCAGTTGGTAGATGTATCTTTGGGAATCCTGCTTCAGCTGCGGGTATTGAGCGTGATTTTGGAATCGCTGGTGTGCTATTGAATCCACGGAGAACCAACCTTGACACCTTCGTCGTTGAGATGATCCTCTTCTTATACATCAATGGTGAACACATTCCTTGGAACGATATCCCACACATTGATTCGAAGAAGGTACAGCAAACGGCAGGAGGACGATCGAAGTTTGTTTCAAAAAAAAAAGCGCTATACCATAGCAACTCCGACCGGATCATCAACCTTGAATGAGGCGAACGATGGGAATAATAGGAAAGCTGACCGGATCTTTACTGCGGAGGATATCGAAAACGACTTGACTTTTTCACTGCAGGCAGCGTGGATGATGATTGACTCTACCATGATGATATACCAGCAGTAGCGGTAGCTGCCAACTAGCCTTTCAACATCGCATTTGAATAAAAAGAGAGATGATTATTGTGAGCACATATATGCTGCTACTTGTCTTACTCGGAAAATTTTTATTTTCCTTGTGCTCACTGTAAGGAATCAAAGTATTAGTGGATCATCACTGTTGTACAAGAGTCTAAGCTTCCACCCGCTCTTGGGCGGTAGTATAAAGAGGAGAACGCAAGAGGATAACATCATCATGATGTTCAACTTCTTGTTGCGTCAATGATGGATTTAAGGAGACAAACGATGAAAAACAACAATAACTGTCTGCCCTGACTGACCTTCTCACTCATCGTGCTCCAACCTTTTTGCTCCGTTCTTCTTCCTTACTTTCCCAATCTTACTTCACATTCACCTTGCGTCTACTTCTTCCGTTAGCAACAAGCAAACAACACGATCATCATAGAGGAATAATTGCTGATAATAAATGTGTACCTTTACACCACCTCTTGCTATGACCGACCCCATTAATCACCTCTTCTCTTCTTCTTCTGCTATTTCATAGTGGTGTTGGATTATCTCGACGATAAATAAATATGTAATAAAGCAGCAAACAAGAAAATTGGCTAGAAGAAGGTCAGTAGGCGAAGATAGAAGAAGAAGAAGCGAAGAAGAAGAAGAAGAAGAAGAAGAAGAAGGAGGAGGAGAAGAAGAAGAAGAAGAAGAACAATCCTTGCCACAGAAGGAGAGGAAGGGACGACGCATCTGCTGCAGATAGAAGCAGCGAGCGAGGGCATTCAAGGCTATGATGTTGAGACTAATGACGACGATGATGATGAATGGTGATGGTGAT